CACTCGCCATAAACGAGCGGGACACCCTGAGCTCAAACTGGTGCTGCCAGTGTCACCTTAAATGCAGGCGCGGAGGGGTTGCTTTGGAGTGTACTGAGGTGTGTCTTAATACTCCGCCATTCAACAAATGAACTTGTAGTGGTGTGTGGTCAGAGCAGCAAAGTCATTTGCTTTCCTTTGGCCCTTGGTTTCTCAGGCGGGGAGGGGGGGCCAGGCCACCAAAAAAAGAAAAATACCCCGTGCATGAGTGAGCTAAAGCTGGTGGAAGCAGCACGTTCACACTCCCTACACACACTCTCACTATCACACACACACACCATGCAGCGAAGGAATTTTTAACTCTCCCCCTCCCCCCCCCTTATAGTGTCTGCAAGAGATGGGGAAAGAGAGAGAGAGAGAGAGAAGCACAACAGCTCTTAGTCAACAAACGGCACGTGGAAGAAGTTTGGAAGTGTTTGGGCAAGGACTCTTCAGGCCCTTTCAAGGAGAGCTCTCAAAACACAAAGTAAATTGTGTATTTGCTCTGCTCTTTCCAGGCAGCGGAGAGAGCGAGAGAGGGCTTCCCTTCTCCTTCAGATTTGGAGAAAAGAGGCAAGGGAGTGGAGGAAGCGCGGGGGGGGGGCGGAGGAAATACCCACACACCCAACTTGGGTCTTGGCTACCTCCAGGCGTTCTCCAGCTGACAAAGCGCCTGTCTCCCAAATATTTATGTCGTTACCATTTGAATGTTATTCCCCCCCCCCTTATCTCCATTGTCTGAGGGAAGCTAACTGTTTAAATGCAAATGACTCGCCTCTCTGTCCCATTCTCCTCCTCCTCCTCCTCCTCTCCTCTCCATCTCACTGAAACCCTCCGCCCGCACAACCCTAGATCGCCTCGGAGAGAAAAGGGCCCTCCTTTTTCCAAGCCCTGTTATTTATTTACTCCAGGCCCTAACTCGGAGCGGTGGGGGCAGGTGTGACTCGAGCTCATCGCCAAATGCAAATGACTCGCCTCTCTGTCCCATTCTCCTCCTCCTCCTCCTCCTCTCCTCTCCATCTCACTGAAACCCTCCGCCCGCACAACCCTAGATCGCCTCGGAGAGAAAAGGGCCCTCCTTTTTCCAAGCCCTGTTATTTATTTACTCCAGGCCCTAACTCGGAGCGGTGGGGGCAGGTGTGACTCGAGCTCATCGCCTTGTTACGAGGCAAAG